ATTTTTTTGACGTTTTTTTAGGGTTAGGGGTCAGCTTTATGGGTAGAAGTTATAATAAATAAGTATAAGTGGGTTTTAGTAGGTTTTATGGATCTAAATCGAGACCTCCAAATTTTCAGCTTAAGCCAATTTCAGCATCATCTCCAACAAAAACTAATCCACATAAAAGACACCTAAGTTCATTTCTTTGCTCTTCAGTCATTACTATAGGTTCAATTTTGAATTGGTACTTAGTTTTCATCCTTAACCATAATATAGCTGTATAGATAATATATTTTCTAATAATAAGCGGGTCGGAGGTATCACCGGTATCTTCAAGTGTTATTCCTATATTCTCTTTGAATGAAGATTTTGATATTTTACACTTATAACTTGAAATTTTCGTGTTATTGTCAGCCTTTTCATTAGAAAGAGATTTATCAGCTTGTTCATAAGGAAGAAACTTAGCGATTATATAAACGAAAACGAATCCAATTGCAAGATAAAAATAAAGCAATAATATAAAAATTACAATAAAAGTCACAATTATTATGTGGCTTATTTCAAGTTTTTCTCCAAAAAGTCGTCTTCTAAAATCTTCTAAGAGAACCTTCGCCAATACCAACAACTTTATAGTCTTAAAGTGATGAAATTCAGCTCTTTCTTTCTTATTTCCAAAAAATCTTGCTTTGTATAGCCGTCTATTGTTACTGTTTCCAAAAAAAGTTACCCAATCATATTCATATTCTATATAATCAAAATCTTTATCCTTTCTCACATCTTGATCTTTTTCCAGATCTTCATCCTTTCTCACATCTTGATCTTTTTTCAGATATTTATCCTTAACAATAACGTCATAAGCACAAGTTATCCCATGTTCATGATCACAAGTATCTTCATTATCATGATCATCGAATATCTTAATTAAATATAATCTCTTCGCTAAGAAATAATAAAGTGCTATTTGTGCTAAAACTATTTCAAACATAGGTTTTAAGAATAAGAATTTTAAAAAATAAAATTTTTATAAGGTGCTATAGAAAAATTTATAAATTTCTCAATCTCCCGTTCAAATAAACCTAATATTACATTGACTAACCATAAAAAACCAATAACGATAATACTTATGGCTAAGATAAAATCATCATATACAGTGATACGTGGGATAATATTAATATTAATCAAAATCGAGAAAATAGATGTAATAACAATATATAAAGACACTAAAATAATAAATGTTACAGCAGTTTTCTTTTCATTTTCAACAAGCTTATTGATACGCTTTAAATAATTCAAATATTCTCTGCACCGGACAACCAGCTTATCTTCTTCTAAGAGTTCATCGGATATCGGCAAGAACGTGGGCATAAATACCTTATCAGATACAGCTTTTTTTGTAGCTTCAACCAATGAAATTATATTATCTTTGTTCGACTTTAATTTTTCACTAAGAGTTTTAAAAAGAACTAAAACCCCACCACTGGCAAGAACACTCGATGTCACAAGGCGAAATATATTATTGGCGAGATTTTTCAAAAAAATATAAAATAATATTCCTCCAAAAAGTATAGTAAGTAAGGACATCACGATATTTAATATTATTAAATATTTTCTCTTTTTATAATTTATTTCAGCCTTTTCCCATTCCTGTTTCAAATTCATAATTATGAATTTCTTCGCTTGCATAGTTTCGCCTGTCTTTTTTTCACTCATCTCTTTTGCGTGTCTTTGATTTATTTTCACTCACTTTGAGATTATAATTCAAAAAGATTATGAAGGATAATTTTTAAGTTTAACTCAATGTTATTAAACAGTAATGAATTTCTTTGTCATTAGATTATGCATGTACGGTGCAGGAAACCTAAAAAACCCCAATCAATTTATAAAGATCAATTAACATAGTGGAGATAAACCAAACTCAGAAGCGACTTATTTTAAGTTTCAGCTGCATATTAAGTAAATAGTTTTCTTTGGCGTATTATTACTATGCAAAGAAGTTGAGGATTTTAGATAATTTAAGAAATTTATTTCAATGTGCTACCAGTTTATTGATGTTTTTAAATCCCACCGTACACAACAACTCAGCTCAGCAGCGGCCTATTTTAAGTTTCAGCTGCATGTATGGAATATTTGCTATTAAGTAAATAGTTTTCCTGTGCATATTATTTCTATGCAAAGAAGTTATGTGCTACCAGTTTATGCATTTTCTATATACAGACAAATTGAGGTTTTTAAATTCAACCATAAATGCACGAAACATTGGAGTGTTCGATGTACTATGTAAATGAAATCCATATGTAGTTTTATCCCTTCTACAAAACAGCTCGGTGAGATATCACATCTCCCCGCGTGAACATTGCGTGCTTCGCTAAGCGGCTGATATTCCCGTCCTTTTTTAGCACATCGTGTTTGTGATTCCTCACGTGGTTTGAGCACGTGTATTGTGCAGCTCACATGCAACATCAAGCTTTTTTTTGTTCTCTAATATCTTTAATATGCGTGTGCTTCTTTTGCGTGCACGTGTATAGTAAGGCTTGTCCTGCGTACACGTGTATAGTATATCTACTATTTATTCTCACGTAAATTATTGCGCATCCAAACAAAGTAAGAACTAAAATAAAAAAAAGATTAGAGCAATTAAGCACGCATATTCATAAAATTGGAGATATGATAACAAACGATAGTAAAAATAAGAATTTTCGACACAAAATTCAGTGACCCGATATAAATTTGTATGCATCTTTGACAGATATTTAATAATGTTCATTTTTTTTCGTCGGATTTTTGTTGGACTGATTAAATGATAGTCACTGATTGTCAAAGACTTTGAGCAAAAGTATTTGTTAGTCATTTCTAAATGTGTAGTAATCACTGGACAGATATGGCGTTCATCCACTTTTTAAAAACCTGATTTGTACATCAGTTATTAGCACGTATTACTAATTTGTCGGTTTAGACTGTTTTTGTAATGGCTGCTGCATTGTCTCGTTAGATACAGGTTCGGATTATGATCTTTGTTAAATTGCGACTGATACTTATAAGTCAGTTCAAAAAGCCCCAGCTGTCAAAGTCAAAAAATTAGTAATAGTAAGGGAGTTATCATATCAGTTCAGAATGAAATCAGCAGGCGAACGGAAAAGAACGTGTTTGTAAATGCAGTGTATTCGAGGGTGTAGAGGGAGGCGTCTTTCTCCTTGCTATCGTTCGCCTGCTATCGTTCGCCTCTCAGGAGGGTGGTTCTATCATCCTTCCCACCATGCACATTTTGCAGTGACTTAGGATAACCTTGATGCTTGGCAACTGATTTGTTAGGCGAAGTGTATTTAGTAAAGTCAATTTTGCGATTGCAAAGACTTTGTGTTTGTAGTAATTAGATCCAAGGCTACTGCTGCAGTATAGGGGATAAAACTACATATGGATTTCATTGACATA